CCTTGTCCTACCTGGAGCCCAGGCTGGCTGTGGCAGGAGTTTTCCTGCTCACTGGGCACCCCAGAGAAGATGCCAAGTGTCCCTCTCGCCCTGGTGCCACTTGGCTGCTTTCTCCCGCTTGGAAATGGCATGGAATAAAGGGAACACCAGGGTGGACAAAGCAAGCACTTGCCAACAGAACCTGCGTAGCCCAGGCAAGCCACAGAGCTGGCCCAGGCACGGCCACGGCCACCGCTACACGATACAGGGCACCCCAAAGCCAGAAGGACACGAATCGCAGCGTGCTTAGTGCCAGCAGGCAAAATGGAGCTAAAAGCATAGCTCTGAGAGCCCTCTACGCGCTCTGAAGAGCCTCGGCCACCCCAGCCCACCCTAGGGAGGCTGCAGCCCCTTTCTCGGTGCCATCATCCCGCCCAGAGGAGCAGGCTGCATTGCCACCTAATGGGATGTGCTGGGAAAGCCGGAGCATCCCTCTGGAAAGCAACGAGAGCAGGGCTCTGGGGCTCTGCAGGTGCCTCAGGCTCCCCAGCCCGGCAGGACCGAGCCGTGCCCGGCTCTGCCACAAACCAACGCTGGGGCACAAAGCAGAGGGGCCGGGCAGGAGGGGAGAGGGGTTTGTGCGCTCGGAGCCGTGCCAGGGAGCAAAGCAGCCGCTCGTGACCCAGCGCTATCACCACCCACATCTGTCTGGGCACTCCAGGAAAAGCCTTTATTGGGTCTCAAAGTCGTTTTCCCCTCGCTGCCTCCCACAGCTCATAAAAGCTCCTGTCAGCAGAGCCCAGAGAACGTGAAGCTCCCCGAAGAAGCGGATGTTGTCTCGGTAAAGTTGCCTCCTGGCCAAAATGCTGCGTGCAGGCAGACACCAAAGGGAAAAGCAGCCCCACAGGGACTCCAGAGATGGATGAGGGATGGAAATCAGCATGGCTAGGAGAAACAGGAGTGGTTGTGCCAGGAAAGCACAGGGACTGGTGCGCTGTGCCAAAGCCACAGCGCTGAACACAGCCTTCCACCCCACTCCTCTCCATCAGCAGGAGAAGCAACACCTTCCATGGGACACCCCGGGCACTGCTGGGAGCAGCAAGGGCCCCATCTCCTCAATTACTGAACTGGCAGAGTCACAAAGGCACTGCCAGGAGGGTCTGCTCTCGTCCCTGCTCCTGCCTGGAGCACCAGCTCACAACCCAGCCTGTGACCAGGGAGCAGCAACCAGAGCACAGCTTTGATGCCTCGCTCCCAAGCCCCTCACCTCCCTCCAGAGTTCTCCTGGCTCACAACAAACACCTCAGGGGGGAGTCAGAGGGGATTGGAGACCCCTCAGAGCCCACGGTGGCTTTGTTTCCCTTCCTCACTGAAGGTACAGTCCCCACCCATGCCAGCCTGACTTCCAGGACTGCTTCAGCTGCCCACCGAAGGCAATGGGAGCCTGATTTTTACCCATATCCAAAGATAAAAGTGGAAATGGATTTCATGAAGTTCCTCCCTCCTTCAGCCTTGAGTCTTTCCTGTAGGCAGAGAAACCAAACCCCGAAAAGCAGCAAATTGAGTCTGTGTCCTAATGGCAAATCCCAGTTTCTGACACCCTCACCTTTGGTGACATAAAACCAATCAACCTTGTCTCCCAGAACACCCAGAGGTGAAGGGAACATCCTGGGAGCTGCCCTGGATGCTGCCAGGGCTGCATAGGTCATGCCTGCTGTATTTTAGCACCATATGTTGCTGGTTTTTTTGGGGATTTTTTGCATGCATCAACTCCTTTTATACACCAGAAACTCTCCTGGGAGCTTTATATCAAAGGACTTGGTTCCCAAAATGGAAATCAGCTTCCACAGTGAGCAGCAATGCTTGCAGCAGCCACCTTCTTGAGGGCAGGAGAGGAAGCACAAAAGAGCACACCTGTGCATCAGCAGCTGGATAAATCCCCTTTCCTGGTCTGCACAGGGCACTGCTGTGCCCCAGGAGCTGCTTCCCCAGCCGTGCTCTGCTCCAGGACAGGTGGAGGAATGAGGAGCAGTGCCCGCCTCTTCCAGAGGGAACTGCAGCACCCACCGCCTTTAGAGGTGCTCAGCACTGAGCTAATTGAGACAAAGCTCTCAGGAAATCTTCAAGGAAAATTGAAGTCTGATTTGTAGCTGCAGTTTTTGCCTGGGAGGGTGGAGAGTACAGCAGGAGCAGTCCCATCAGATAGCAGCAGCCAGGCTGGGCTCTAGCACCTGCACAGGAATCACAGCACTGGGAGGCAGAGCTTGGCCTCGCTGGGAAAGAGTGCTTGGCAGAAAACAGGCCTCAGAGCTGGGAAGCAGAGCAAGTGCCATGGCACCCTGCCACCCACGGTGCCAGGTGTAGGAGCACGGCAGGATCACAGGGAGCGGTGTTGTCAGATGGGATCGCTGTTGGCCAACACGGATGGGAGCTCACTGGGCCAGGCACACCCACGGAGCCTTTGCCAGTATCACACAATCATGGAATGGTGGCACCTTAAAGATCTGCTCCAATGCACCTGCTGTGGGCAGGGACACCTTCCACTATCCCAGGCTGCTCCAAGCCCCAGTGTCCAACCTGGCCTTGGACACTGCCAGGGATCCAGGGGCACCACTCTAGGAAGCCTGTGCCAGGGCCTCGCCTCCCTCAGGCTGTCCTCTCCTGTCATCCTCACATCAAATGCAAGTCAACAGAAGGCTAGCCCAAGGAGGAGGGTCCATCCCTTTCCTTCATCTTCAGACCTCCTTTTCTGCAAGCCCTCCCTGAGCACAGATGGCTCCTGGGTTCTCCATAAGCACTCAGCTCACATTAACCTGCGCAGGCACGTTTTTGGGAAGCAGCCCATCAGGTGCCAGTGCACCATCCCACCACCCCTCTGCTTTGGTTGCTTCTCCTCACTTCTGCACAATTGATTCATTTTGCTTTTGTGAACAGCACTGGAAGCCAGCTGGGATTTGTTGTGCACCTAAATTGCACTTGCTCAGCCAGCTCTTCCACAGGAGGGATTCATTCCAACCACATCTGTGGTGGGGACACAGCAAAACTGAGGCAGCAGGGATAATACTGAAACCTCACTGCTCTTGTGTTGCCCAGAGAAGCTGTGCCTGCCACAGCCCTGGAAGTGTTCCAGACCATGCTGGACAGGGCTTGGAGCAGCCTGAGATCTGCTCCAATGCACCTGCTGTGGGCAGGGGGTGGGACAGGATGGGCTTCCAGTCCAATCCCTTTCAGTGGTTCTGTAATGAAAGCATTGGAGTTTCACTGTGAAGGAAGAAGAAGAAACTTGCTGGATCTCAGAACTGCAGCCCTGGGCTTGATGTCACTGCTGAGAAGCAAATTCCTCACAGAGAAGCTCAGCTATGCACAGGTATCTCCATGGCCTGGATTTTCCTCTCTCCCCCCTCCTGTGCAAAGGGAAGCCAGCGGGGAGGTTGTTGCTGAACTGGAGTGAGCACAGGAAAAGCTGGTGGTTTTGCCCACAGATGTGACCTTCCCCAGGGAATCTGCCCTGGGAAAGCAGGCAGAACCAAGCATGGGACATGACAGGCAAGAGGCAAACCCCAGGCAATGGGAATTTGGGACAGGAGGACAGACTGCAGATGGTTTCACACATGCACCTACGCAGAAGCACAGGGAGAACTTGAGCTATGTTATCTTTCCCAATCTAAGTAAGAACTGGAGATGGATTCCTCCAACTGGCACAGCATAGCCTCCAAAACCCAAATCTTTACAGCTGGTTTGCTAAGAGATTTTTTTTGAGGTGTTGGAGTGGGAAGGAGGGAAGAGAAAAACACAGAGGAGGGAAGAGAAAAACACACAGCTAGTGTTCCTTCCTACAGCAAGGGGAAAGTTATTTCCTTCACAGATTTAGCTTATAAGCAGTTTCAAAGCAGCGTTAAAGCCTGAATAAAATTTTTAGAAGTGTGCTATCATGCCACAGGGCTCAGCAGCACTGCTTTTCCTGACTGGAACTGAAGTCTCTTCTATCCAAAGCTCAGCTCTCTGTGCTGCTAGAGCAGGTGGGGAAGGCTCCTAAAGCTGCTCTGCACCCCAGTGAGCCCCCCAATGTCCCACAGCAGTTTCCCCAGCTCCACTCACAGTACAAAACACCTCTCCATATCAGGCATCGGGCTGCACACACTGCCAAGCAAATTCCAGCAGCCGGAGATGTCGGCAACACCAGGATGGAGGACACGTGTGCAAACAGAGCTGCACTCTCCAGGGGGATCCTAAAGCCACAACAGCTTTCATCCCCACACCCCTCAAGCTGGTGCTCTGGGCAGACAGAGGGAGGCTCACACTCCTCAGGCTCTCACTGCACTGCCTGGGAGTCCTGAGGGATTCAGGCATCCCTTCCTGGAGGACACACAGGTGAGACACAAAGCACAGAAACAAAGAGCTACAGGAGCCCCGTTCCTGTCCCACTGCTCCTGCATCCAGTACCTCAGCAGGCACCCAAGGCTCTCCTTAAGGGACTCTTTGCATACTGGCTTTGATGGGGGAAGGGGCAGGAGTGAGACTTGGCTGCTTAACTCCAAGGCACTGCCCTGAATTCTGGAATGCCTGGCAGCACTTCTCCTCAGTGACTGAAGCAGTGAGCCCCGTGCTGGAAATGCAAAATTAACTGCAGCCTAAATCTGGACAGTGGTGCTTGAACCAATGCCAAGGTGCCTCATTTCTGTGACTAATACCAAATGAATCATTTCTTTTTTAAAAACCCCTCCAACTGGGACTTTCAGGGACTTGCAAAAATAATAATTACACTTTTCTTTTATACCCAACAAACATTTGGCTCTATAGTAGAATCAAAGCTAGAAGCTGTGAACACAACTGCTGGCAATTATTTTGACTATTTTTTTTATAATTTTAAGTGGAGATTTTTGCTGTATGAATTGAGATCCCTTATTCCCATCTCTCAGTGAATCTCTATGATACTTTCCTGAGGTCCAGTCAGCGCCTTTCAGAACACATCACTGCTTCTAATGAACCTCATAAAACACCACATGTGACAGAGCAAGAAATTAACTTTGTGAGAGCCAGGAGGGTACAGGTTTAATTTCTCTTGAATCAGCAGAACAACAATAATCCTGGATAATAATGTGCCACAGCCTTGAGGAAGAGAAAGTTCAGCTCTGATGTTGAGCCTGCCCCAGCTCACTTGGTTATCCCACATCCCTGAGGCTCCTCAGGGAAAAACAATCCACAACAAAATGGTTTTCCTTCTGGGAGTCTACTCCCTTCTGCTGGGGATGGGAAATGATTTAGGCAGCATTTCCTTGGTGCTACACAAATGATGTGGAGCAGGTGCACTGAATGTAGCTCCTCTTCCCTCAGGTCCCATGGGCCATCCTGGCCAGGGCTCCAGCAGGAACAGATCTCATTTCAGCCAGATCCACTTGTCCCCAGCGTCGGCGTTGTAGCCTGGCTTGTACTTGCGTCCAGGGAGCTAAAGAAAGCAGAAAGCTCAGTCAGAACTCTGGGCACCCCCCACAAACTTCTGGAGTGCCTCGTGGGATCTGTAGAACACAAAATACTGTTTTTTACATTGTAATGATAAAACTTACAGAAAAACCAGTCTCTCAGAAAAGACTGAGCTGTGCAGCTGCAGGAGGGACTGCACAAACCACTATACAAAAATCATAATGTGTGTATGAAAACCAGGCCAATGATCTCAGCATCACACTCCACCTGGATTCATCCAGCCCCTCCCAGCCTGATGAGATGGCTCCCTTAACTGTATCATGGAGGAGAGGAACTGCATCTCATTCCAAAATAGGCATACACATTATTAAATATATGGAATACTTCATGCATGAGATACTGAGTTAATTACCACATTAAATTAAACCATTCAAATGAAACTGCAGACTTAGCCTTCAAGAACTGAACTTCGCTAAAGCAAAAGCAGTATCAGCCTGCCTTCATCAGCAAAGCCAAGATCCACTTTTTGATGGAAAAACCCTAAGATTTTTGAAGCCTTTACCCAAATTTCAAGGGTACCCTGGGAGCTAAGCAGCAGCCTGTGAGTCTCAGTGCTGAAGCAGCACCCCTTGGAAGGTACTGACCCTGACCTGGAATGCCAGAGATGGTGAGATCCTGGTTCCAAAAGCAGAATCCATCTCTACCATCCATTCCTACCTCCAGGAAAGAAAGAAACAGAACAGAACATCTTTGAGCTCCAGTACTGGACCCCAGAAGCAAACCACCCAAAAAAAAAGCCAATGAGTTTGGTGAGAAAGGCTGAAGCCAGCAAAGATGCTGTAATAAAACTCTTCCTTTAAAAATAAGCTATCTGCTGGCAGCATCTCCAAATAATTAAGCACAGATCATCTGCTCTGTCTCCACACAAGCACTGGTTTCACACAAGACCCCAGACTTGTCCTGAGGATTTTTCCTTTCCAAAAAAACATATAAGAGGATCCTGTTGGGGAGAGCTGCCCCTGCAGAGAAAAACAAGATGCAGTCTTGATAAAATCTGTACTCAGGCTGCAAAAATGAGCTATTTAATAAAAGATGAAGCCTGTTGTTTTGAGGAAGGGGAGTTGTGTTTACATTCACTTGAAGGTCGAAAAACAAGACACTTCTTTCCCTAAAAATCAGGCTGACAAGACCTGACCTCCTCCATGAGGCACTTCCCGACCTGCCCTGTCACAAACCATTTGTGATCAATTTTTCTGAGGTTTTTCAATTAATGTCTTGTCTAAACATCAGCAGAAACTACACAGTCCTGTTGAGAGTTCCCCCCACCGAGCAAAGAGAAGATGGGAGATGAAAATAAATGATTACTATCTCTGTCCCACAGATTTCCAGCAGTGAGCCAGGGAGGACATGAGACAGCCTGTGACACCAAAACAGCTCTCCCTGGTCCTCTCCAGGCAGCACATAATTGGCCCTTTGATACTTGAAGAGATTCCCAGATAAGTAGATTATTAAAGCAACAGGAGATCTCTGGGAAAATACAGCAGTTTACAGTTTTGTTTCTGGGTACATCTGCCCTCTTTAAAAAGCTACAATATCATCCCCAACAGAATTCAAATTCATTGTCCAAAACAAATTCCCTGTGTGCCTTTGGTTAAAGACATGCAAGACATCAAAGCAAGTGTTATAATAAGTATTCATCCATAACTCCATCATTCACAGTGGGCCTTGGCAAAGGCAAGAGAGTTTGGGGATTTGTCACAGCTAAGCTTTCAAAATAGCCAAAAAGGGGAAAAAAAAAAGAAAAAAATTAAAAAATAAAGGAAGAGGGAAGCAGAATAAACAAGTCCCATATTACCTAGGAGGCAGGAGGAGCTCATGTTCTGAGCATGAGCTGCACAAGTGACACAGACCACTTCCCCAACGTGTGCTCTTCAAATCCTACATTTTCCAGCTGTGACTGCAGTACAGGAGCTGCACACTTTGGAACAGGGCAGGATTCTGCAGAGAGGAGTGGTAGGAGCACCAGGGAAGATGTGGGGATGCAGGGTGAGGGGTAGGATGCGCTGGTTCTGGTTAGGCTGGTGCTCCAAAGTGCACCCAAGCTGAAATTCCCAGGCTCCTCTTAGCCAGCACAAGAGCAGGGATGGGAATCGGGGACCAGCCCTGAGGCTGCTGGGTTTGTCTAGGCTGGGCAGCCTGGCTGCAAGAGCTGATGGAAAGGAGATAGGAAGAAGCTCTGTGAGGCTCACCAGCAGCTGAGACAATAGAGAGGGACTGAATATTCACCTTCTCTTGCAGTCCAACTTCCCTGGAAGTGTCCCAGGCCAGGCTGGAGCACCCTGGAATAGTGGAAGGTGTCCCCTGCCCATGGCAGAGGGGCTGAGATGAGCTTTTAGGTCCCTTCCAGCCCAACCCATCCCCTTTCACAATTTTATGACCACAGAGATCCCACCAGGCAGCCCCAGGAGCTCCCCCACATCCCTGCAGCAGGAGGCAAGACTGAGCTCCTGCCAGGTCACCAAGGAGCAGATTTTTCCACTCCATGGAAATTAAGTGAGAATGAAGCCTTAGCGTGCTGCATTACACTGCACAGATCCCAAAAGTTGGCAGCAAAGATTATTTCCAGAGGGATGGGATAAAATCCACCCCACAGAGCATGAAACTCCTGAAATGAGCTGTACCCAAAGGTAGAGCCAGCTCAAAGGCATCAAACAGCTCAACTTTAAAAAGAGCATTAGGAAAAGAGGTGAAAACAAGACCGTCTCATCAGTTAAATTAAGAATCCACCACAGAAGTGCCTGTCAAAACCATAAACATGATGAAAAGCCCTATAAAGTAGCAGAGGCTGTGGAGGAGCAACAAGCAGCTCTAGCCAGCTGCTTGCTCCAGATCATTCCACATCAGGCACGTGCAGGTAGAGCTCTGGAGAGCTCTAACCACCTGCAAAGGTTGTGCCTGGTTTTCCAGCCTTTGGGGAACAAACAGTGACCGGTTTTGCCCTCTATTCCTGTGCTGCTCTGTGCTGATGGCCAGGCTCCACAGCTCCAGAAGCTCTATAAATAGCCTGCTTGGACCAGCACTGAGCAAAGAGCACTTAAAGCAGAGTCATTACTCTGGGAGCTCGGGTTCATTCATCAATATCCCCACCCCATCCTTCAGTGGCTGTTTAGAACAGCCACAATAACATCACTGCTGGTATCAGATGACTACTTCTTACAGGAGAAATCCTCACTTCCAAAGGGTTGGCAGAGTTGTAGGCACACAGCTAAAATCTGAGAGAATCTAGGATTGTGGAGCTGCATTCAGGGAGAGTTTGGCTCCTGACTGTTCCTTATTATTCCTCCTTTGGTTCCTCTCTGCAGCTACACAAAAGGAGGCTGTAGCCAGGTCTCTCCTCCCAAGTGACAAGAGGAAACAGCCTCAAGATGCATCAGGGAACATTGAAATTGGGTATTAAGGGAAAAACTTCTTCATGGAAAGGGCTGGTACTGTGGCACTGTGGGGCTCAGGTTGCCCAGGAGAGTGGATGTGGCACCTGGGGCCATGGGCTGGTGGTGGCCTTGGAACTGCTGGGTTTAAGTTGCACTCAAAGATCTTCTCCAATCCCACTGCTCCTGTGCTCCAGAGAGCAGCAGTTAAAGCAGGGAAGGGGACTGATTTCCCCCCAAACACACATCTGAGGTGTGCATGGCTTGGTTCCCAAAGACCTGGCACAGACAGGTGTTTGTTACAGCCTCATTCCTGCCATCCCTGACTCAAATAAACCCTCAATGCTGTTAACATCCATCACAGCCCAAAAAAAGAGCACCCAAAAGTTTCACTGCATTGAGGCTAAAACAATTCCAGTTTGCTGGAACTGTTCAATGACTGCTGTCCTGCTCTTCATTCATTCATTAGAAAAACAGACAATAACCTTTGGAAAAAGAAGTGCCCCCAAGAGGATCAGTTATCCACTAGAGAGTGCAGGGGAAAGCCAAGGAATTAATCCAAGCCACACAGCACAGTTAAACACGCCAAACTGACCCTACTTCACAGTGTAAGATCCATGGAGATGTTACCCCCCCATTAAATTATATTCCAATTAATTTTAATTTAAGAGAGATCTATCCTGGGGATCGCATCCCTTCATAGGTATGGGATTGAGAAGGGTTTGGGGAAGGGGGATGTGCTCCCACATAAAAACGTGTTTCCTTTCACAGGGACAGACTGTCAAGATGAAAATGGATTACTTTAATGCCAGTGAGATTTGATGTCTTTTTGATTTACAGAAGTACCCAGTGCCTGGGACAGCACGGGCCATCACCTAAAATGAAACAGACACAACCACCAAGCCCAAGTTTGAGAAAGTTCCAAGGTCTGTCAGGTTCCTTCTCTACTCTTTCTGGGATAGATATCCCTGCCAACTGCCCATGATACTTTTAAGGGGGAGCAGGGTGGAGAAGCTGCCTGTTGCTAAAGAGGGGCTGCTCTCACAGTCTCCCCATATGAACAGGATTAGTGAGAGCAAAGGAGAAGTGGGAAGGTGGGAAGAACAGCAAATCCAGGTATCCTTGAGCAACAACCCTGTCATTCCCAGGCTTTTGTTATTCCTCAGGTTCTTTTGGTCTTACTGATACCTAGCCAGGCAACATCTTGTTACTTTGGAAAGGGCTAAAAATACATTTGCAGAGATAAAACAGAAAAAAACCCCAAAACGTTAAATGAAGCATCTTCTAATTTATTGTGTGTCTGCTTTCATTCCTTCCTGGATTCAACAGCAAACAGGGCTGGGCATTACAGCTGTCAAACACCTCCTTTAAAACAGAATTAGGAAAGGAGATCTTGATCCTAAAAAGAATGAAAGCTTCATCAAGCCAAGAAAGAAATGGCAGGAGAGAGAAAACAGAAGGTTCTATCAAAGGAAGCAGCTATGGCAACGATCAAAAACATGGAAAGGGAAAGATATCCTAAAGCTCCCTGCTCCTGCAAAGGCAAGAGTTGATCCTGTTGTTGATCCAGACTCTGGCTCTCTGAAAGCTCAAGTACCCCTTCTGTAGCTCTTTTAGGAGATTTTTATGTGAGGAGTTCCCTGTACTCTCAGCAGAGATGGGGAGCCAAGGGCCCTGCTAACCCTCTGCTTGCCAGCAGCCACCTTTGGCCCCACAGTTGCCAAAAAGGACCAGGGTGGCTCTTGGGCCACCTTAAACCTGGATGTCCCCTCCTTGGGGGAGCTGTGATTTCCCATGGCAGACACAAGCTCTTCCAGCACTCTCAGTGCTGGGGTGTGGGACAGAGCTGACTCGTGCTGCAGGCTCACCTGCTATCGCCCTGCAACTACCCCAAACCCGGAGGCACGGCAGACATCGGAGGATTTCCCCTCCCAAGCTGCATCCTTATGGAAAAGAGTGATGAAAAGCCTGGGAAAACAGTGTGGGATTCCCCTTCATCCTGTTCCCTCTCCTCTGTTTACTGCTCCACAGCACTGCAGGGCCCTGCCAGCCCCACATTCCCAAGCCCTGGGGAAGGAGGGAGGAGGAGGAGGAGCAGGGTACAGAGATGAAGTTTGGCAAAGGCAGCTGAGCTGTGCAGCTGCTGTGGAAGGAGCTGGATTGCATCTCACAGCCATAGCCAGAACTTTGATCTGCTTGAGCTTTCCTTGCCTCATGCTCAGCATCCCTATATTCCAAAAGCAGTCTTGGAAAACAGGGCGGGAAACACAATAAGAGCCTTCTCTTACCTTTCCATGGCACAGGACAAGGAGGAATTGCCTCACACTTCCAGAGGGTAGGGTTAGATGGGATATTGGGAAGGAACCCTCCCCTGTGAGGGAGGTGAGACCTTGGCACAGGTTGCCCAGAGAAGCTGTGGCTACCCCTGGATCCCTGGAAGTGTCCCAGGCCAGGTTGAACAGGGCTTAGAGTAAGCTGGGATAGTGGAAAGTGCCCCTGCCCGTGGTAGTGGCAGGGAATGAATTTTAAGGTCCCTTTCAACTCAAAGCATTTTGTGATTCTTTGATTTTCTGAATTCCAGCAAACAGCTGCACTTTTATGTACACAGAAAAGCACAGACACGTCAAAGAAGCCGTTTTCCCCCACTCCAGGAGATGCAGCAGGAGTGTGAAGTACATCAGCACATTATTTAAGTACACTGATTCCATTAAACAGAGCCATTTGTTTTCATCTTCACTGCAAACACATCTGCCTAAGTGCTCCAGCTCTCCAGCTTCGCAGGGCGCACACAGTGTTTGGAGTATTATCCCTGGGGATTGTGTGCACTTGCAAGAAAGGCAGAGAGATACAGCAGTTGTTAAGGGAGAAAAAAAAAAAGGGTAGTCAAGCCTTTACTAGTCTGACAGTTCCTAAAATAATGTTGCTTCCCTGAAGAATGGACATGCTTATCTCTGATCTACAGAACCTGACTGAAAGGTTGCTTCTCCCTTGCCAGAAAAGCATCCTTAGAAGTTTCTGAATGCTTCAACAGAACTGCTGGACCCTGCCAGAGGACTTCATGCTATAAGAAGGCTGCTAAAAGCCACCTCCTCCCACATAAAAAGAGCCCTTACAGAAGAAATTTAGAGGATATACATTAAAAAAAAAAAAAGTGAGTTCCAAGTATTCAGAACTGTATGTGGCCACCTCATTATTTCGTGGAAAAGCACACATACTAAAATCTTGGAACACTGAAGAGTGTTCCCTCCTCCTCCTCCTTCTTGGTTGCTTCTAATGAATATTTTGAACAAAACCCAGCTTCTGCCTGGAATTTGTAAATCCCTGAAAACCACCATTATTAGGCGGCAGGAATTGTGTGCATGGAGCTCTGAAAAGCACAGCAGTTTGCTGCCTATTGGAGAGATCAAGGATTTATGAGTAGTTACTGGGGGAAAAAAATCCCCTACGCAAATCATTGTATTTATGTGGTAAACATCATTACACCAACCTTAAAAGCATGCATTTCCCACGAGGAAAAGTTAAACTTCTGCAATTATCCCATAATTAAGCCTTTACCTACAAGTCAGCCTAAACTTTACTTAAGAGTGGCCTAAACCCTTTATCTTCAAATGCCAAAGTGGCAGCACAGCTGTGACCATCCCTGCACAGACATGGTCAAGGCAGGGGCCTGTGATTACCTCCTTACAGACCAAACAACCTCCCAGCCCAAATCTGAGTGTCTGGAAGCCCATCTGTTGTTCTCTGTGCTTGTACTGGTTGGCCACTTCTGCCCAGAAGCCTTGCCTGAGAAAAAAAAAAAATCAGCCCTTCATTTGCTAAACAAAGTTGGAAGGTAAAAAAAACACCCAGATCTTCAAAGTTTCAGCACAAAGAATGCAATCCACAGAACATGAAACAGCAGGTGGGGCTGGCTTTGTGCTTCCCCTTCCAGTAGCTGATGGAAGACAGGAAAACTCAGCATCTTTTGCATTGTGCACCATCCCTGTACACCCCCCACACCACTGAAGGACTACAAGAATCCAAGCATTCAGAAGAGACAGAAAGAGTATTAATGTAGCCTAAATTTAACAGAATACTTCCTGAAGCGAGCAACGCCTCCCAATTCCAAAGGACATTATCACTTTCCACAGCATTTTCCTGAACCAGGGCCTACAAACAAGGCTGCAGAAGGGAGATCATATTCTGGCAATGTTTTTTTTGCTCAGCTTCAGCTGTCAACTAACTGGCGTGGAGCAGAGCAATCTGAGAGCACAGCTTTCCTCCCCAGGTACCCATATTCCTTCTCCTAGGCATCCCTTTGCTACATCTGCAAGGCAAGCCACCAATTCCTCCTGGCAACCAGTCACTGGATGGGCCAGGACATTCTCACTTTCCTGCCATCACAAAGTGCTGCTGTACAGCCAGAGGAAAAAAGGCTCTCAGAAGTCTCAGCCCTGGCTCTCAGCACACAGCACAGAGGTCACATCTAGCTGTGTGTCAGGCAGCCTCAGTAATTCCCAGCTCCTCTGCAAAGGGACATCTCAGCCCAAAACAGGCCCTCTTATCTCGGGGAAGAAAGGCACTGGCAGTGCAGATGGCTGCTGTGTGCTAGAGACGAGGCCTGCAGCAGATCCTGCTCAAATCTGTGCTGCACAGCACAGGCAGCTCTCAGAGGGAAAGGCTCCAAAAATCCTGAGCCCAAAGTTTTGGATTTAAAAATGTGACAGCAAGGAGGAGGAAATTCTGATAGCAATTTCTCAGCTGGACTAGGGAGTTTTCAAACCCATTAGACAAGCTCAGATGCTTTCTGCTGCTTTAACCTTTAGCTTTAGCCCCTTTTACAAGCTGGAAAGGTCACATCTCAAATGAGGCAGAACAGTGTGAACCCAGGAGCCTCGCCAGTACACAGCCAGCAGAAGATGAACAAATTATGTCGAATATTCTGTCTATTCCAGAAGAAAACATTGGTGGTTCAGTTTCCAAACAAGTCCATAAATCTGTAGCTTACATTTTAATCTCAGTAAGAGACTGTATACTACCAGGAAAAGAAAAATGATAGTGTTTGGATTATGCAAATCATGGCTTCTAACAATAAATATTGTATATTCCTCCCTTTGTCTTCAGGACTGCTTGGAAAACAATAAGATGCAGTGGCAGGGAAGATTTCAACCCAACTGGAAAACAGAGGCTCACCTGTAACTTTGGCCACTCAAAATTAATTATCATCAGTTCCACAACTTCTTCAAGGAGCTTTTCCAACACCTGGGCTTTAGGCAAGCCCTGTGTCAGGGAAGAGGCCCCATGCCAGGGAACCAGGGAGCAGCACCAGGGCAGAGCTCTGAGGGGACTGGGAGCTGCTGTCTCCAGAAGCAGCAAGGCAGGAGCTAATTAAAACCCTGAGTGGGAGCCTGCATGAGGTGTACGGGAGCGCTGGGCACAACAGGCTTTGGATGTGTGCCAATGTGCAGAAACACTCTATTTAAAGCAACAGCACTTTGGGGAAGCGAGGCAGCATCAATTCCTCCTCAAAAAAAACACCCCCTCCTTCAGCACTCCATAAGGAGTTACCATGGGTTTCCAATTTTCTTGTTTGACTTAAGGGATTATTTTAGATTTCAGAGGTCACAGACTCATCAGGGCACAAGAAACAGAAACAAATGAAAAACATTTATCCTTTAGTCTACATCTAAAGATCTCAAAAAAAAAAAAAAAAAAAAAAGAAGGTGGGGATTTGGGCAAAATGCAGAAGTTCCAGGTAGCAATGGGCAAGAGGGTGGCAGACAGGGTGTCCCCAGCAGTGAGGGGCTCCTGGCTGTGTTCCTTGGCCGTGTCCCCTGGCTGTCCCCAGCAGCGAAGGGCTCCTGGCTGTGTCCCCTGGCTGTCCCCAGCAGCAAGGGGCTCCTGGTCATGTCCCCTGGCCATGTCCCCAGCAGCGAGGGGCTCCTGGCTGTGTCCCCTGGCTGTCCCCAGCAGAGAGGGGCCCCTGGCCATGTCCCCAGCAGCACTCACCGCCTGGTACTCATAGTAGAGCTTGTCATACTCGGAGCCGCCGATGGTGATCTCGGGGACGAAGTGCGGGATGGACACGGAATCCACCACTCCAGCCTTGTCCTGCACACTGAGGGGAAAAGGAGTAGTCAGTTCACACCCTGCCCCAGCAAAAGCCAAGTGTTGTGCCCAGAGAGGCTGTGATGGTCCCACCTCTGGAAATGTTCCAAGCCAAGCTGGATAGAGCTTGGATGGAGCAACCTGATGCAGCAGAAGGTGTCCCTGCCTGTGCCATGGGGTGGGACTGCACAGGCTTTAAGGACCCTGCCAACCCAAACCATACTAGGATTCATAATCATCATTCTATGATTACAAAACTACTTTTCTGTTAAATAAAGTTTCCAAAAGTTTGGGCTGTTTTCCAAACATTTATACTTCTCACAAATCTATGAGGTACTGCCCCTCATCTTTGCCTCCAGTTTGCTCCTTCTCCAACTTCCTGCTTCTCCATTCCCCCCAACAGGAGGTTCTTCCTCCTTGAAGATGCTCCATCATTCCTGGGACCCTTCTCTATGAATCCCCTCCTGGCTTTTTTGCTTTCTGTAAAAGCAGTGTAAAAACCAGTGGTTTTATTGAATGCCACACAGCACCTTGCTGAACTCCCATCCTAAACGGACTAGTACTAAGACAGCGAGAGGATTTGGAAGGAGGCAGTGCCTCCAGCATCCTGCCTGGGAACACCTGGAGAAAGCTGCAACAGCTCCAGTGATGGATCTCAGGATCCACCAGCAATCTACTCTGCACAGCACCGGCACTTCAGATACCCTGAAATGAAGACGCCTGAGAAACTGCTAGAAAGCCTCCTGCTGCCTGTGGTTATGCACAGGCCAACAGTGCCACCTGCACGTGGCTGGCAAAAACACATCCCTTTCCAGTCAGCACTGACCAAACCCTAAATGCAGCACCAGGAACACTGCAAGTTGGGTTGTTTGCAGGGAATTACACTTCTCAACAAATACCAATATGCACATCAAGCACATGCCCTGAGCAAAGCAAAGTTCATCATCTTCAAGAAATTATTTTATCCTCAAATTATAAATTTTGGGACCTTTCCTCCTAGCCATGAAGTGTTCCAACAAGTGAACTGGTTTGCTAACATACCCTGATATTCACACTTTTTAAAAAAGTAAATTATCCTACTACAGACAGATTTGGAAGGAAATACAATAATCAAATCAAAGATGGCAGAAGATGAGGATAAATGCCCTTGTCCAAGATCAGGATCAACACCAAAGATGCTTCCTATGAACTGCAACATTATTAAACTTCAACAACATTAAATGTGTATTTCAGGTACTGGAAGGCACAAAAAGGCACCTACAAAGCATAATATCACATACAGAGATAAGGTTTTGTGGTCACCCACTCTGCAGTGAATCCACTCCTTCCTGAATCTCAGCCAAATGGCCATTTGGAGAGGACAACTCCCAGGCACAATTCATTTTACTTAAAGGCCAAATGACAAACCTTCTGCTCCCAAAACCTCTTTGCACAAGAAAATAATGAAAGCTACTGATGGCTTCTCTGTGTTCTCTGCACCTTCAGAAATAATTTGGAATACTAAGCAAAAGCACACCCAAAGACACCTGCCACAACAACGTCTAACCACAAAACCATAGCCACTTGCCAGGACTAATTCCCTGCTCAGCAGGAAGTGCTTACAGGCACCTTTTATGTTTCTTTCATTTTCTCTCTCTGTCCCCAGCAGAAAATTTTCACTATTTACTCTTTTCTGACACTTTACCAGACTTTCCTGAAGGAGCTCTCAGCATGCAGCACCTTTACCTTCCAGATTAGGTAATATTTGAAAAGGAACTGAGAGCATGAAAGTGACTGTGTGCTCCCAAGACTTTAGGAACATGCAGTTTTAGCTCACTTAAGCCTCTTAACTTATGGTTGTTCCACAGGAATCCCACCTGGAAGTACCCTACAGCAATGGATAACTCATCTCTTCTCCAAAAGCACCTATTACATGCTAATTCACACACTTTATCCAGCACAACTGAACAAGCAGAAGGATCAGGACTGACACATTCCTGATTCTTTTTAGAGAAAGAATTCCTGCTTCCTTCACAGGCAGCTCACAGCAGGACACACACCATGAACATCAGAGTCCGATGAACCTCACCAAAGGTTCGAGGTGGGGTAAGGGAAGGAGACTGGTTAGAAAAAAAATAAATAAACTATGCAATGCAACAATAAACCCTGAGTTTGCATGGCCTGGGCCATGATTTCTCAACACCTGATGTTGGCATAGTCACAAAAACTCAAGTGAAAAGAGAGACCTAAAAGCCAACACCACAAAACCATTCAATACAAACTCAGTGTTGACAGATGAAATTAATATTCCTCCTTCTGCTGCAGGGACTCCGATTCCCTCATTTGGCCAAGCAGAACAGGTCTGGCATGGCCAAGGTGAGGCACAGTTACTCCCTTGGTAAGCAAAAACTCACCATCAATATCAAGAACAAAAAAAACCCCATTTTCCAAAAAAAAGCAGATCTGCAAGGAAAGGGGAGAAGGTGCAACAACAGCTCTTCAAACCTAGAAAAGCCACTGCAAAGAGAAAATCACAAAATAAGTGTTTCAACTGCAGCAAAAAGATGGGGTGGACAGGGTTTGCAGCACCCTGGGATAGTGGAAGGTTCCACTATCCCATTCCTCCCCCATGGCAAGGGGAGAAATGAGATGGGCTTGAAGGTCCTTCCAACCCAGACCATTCTGGGATTCTGTGATTTCATGCTGAAGAGAGAACCAAGATGCTAAAGAAAATAGTTTACAGTACCAGAAGATTTACAATTAATAGTTCATGAGATTTTTGGAGTCTCCATGGCAGTTTCAAAGCCAGGTCCAATGCACCTCTTGCCAGCTCCCCTTGTCCTGCTATCTGCAATCAGATATTTAAACAGGGATATTTCTTCCCTTTGCTAAGCAAAATTACACCGGGAAGCAGAGCTGCAGGGCCTCTGTCCCTGACTCACAGGTTCTGAGGGAGCTGCAGGGACAGATCAGATTTAGCTGTGCAGTTGTCTGATACAACAAGTGCATCAAGCTCCCCCCAGGAGCTGACAAAGGAACACAAGCAAGGTTACACAGCCCACACTCCTCATCCCAAACGTGATTTATTCTGAAGTACATGCAGACAAATGTCATTGGGAAGGGCCCAGATAAAAACACCCCTGAGACAGTGCAGTGGCAGCAGAAGAGCTCCTTGAGACATTTAAAAAGCCAGAACGGTTTCTATTGGACTCCAGGAGAGGAAGGGAAGATGTGAATAACATCCTCTGGAAGTCCCCTCCAGCTCCCAAAGCACAAATGAAGGCCCTTTTAACCTTTTATCAAGATCCCACAGCTACAGCTGTCAGGACAAGAGAGAGCACCTAAGGGCAGGCAGGGGGATAAAAGGGATCATTATGCAACTGCTTGCCCATGGGTGCAGCTCATTAGCTGGCTAATTTGCATTAATCACCCAGAGGCCCTGCTGGGGTTTCCATTAGGCCCTACTCGTGTGCAATAAAGAAGTTCTCAGCCCTGCTCACCCATCCCAGACCCCCAGACAAGCTGGTGCTGATGCCTTAAGTTTTAGCTTTCCTATTTTTCATAGTCTGTGCTACCTAGGTATGTAGTTTTCAGCTTCATGTTAAGTGTTAGCGAGCTCTCTTCACACAGCAGGAAGACAAAACCCTTTTCTCCAAAAGCATAAACAGGGGTGGACTGAAGAGAGAAAACAAGAAGGCTGGGACTTCATAACCTGAAGCTGTAATTAGACTCTGATATGCAGATGGACCAAAACTGATAAAAATGTGAGACCTCATGACCAGTCATCCATTTTGTGACCATTTTGGGTCCCTCTTGGGTGTAGCCCTGGCCAGGCTCTTGAACTGCCCAAGGTGTGTCCTTTAAGGCCTTTCAATAAATACCTGCTTTATTCTTAACTCTGTCCAGCCTCTGTTCCAGGTCAGCCTCCTCAAGGCATCAGTGTGAGCAGAGGGTGGAAGGGAACACTGCTGACGCAGTCCCAAGGGCTGGCAGGCCAGCAAAGGAAGCGACTGCAGGTGGAAAGCCAAGCAGGGCAGAACTTCTATTGGATCTTAGGGGAAACTTCCTCACGGGAAGGGGGCCAGGCCTTGGAACAGGCAATGGTGGAATCAGTGTCCCTGGAAGCGTTCCAGAGCCATGTGGGTGTGGCACTTGGGGACATGGGCTCGACAGCACCGGGGAAACAGTTAACTCCCCAATCTCAGAGGGCTTTTCAAGCCTGAACCATCCTGAATGGATGCCTGGTGCCAGGAGCACCCAGGAGAGGGCAGCATGTGCCAGCACGAGCAGGCACTGGGGACCTGCAGGAAAATCACTTTCTAAAGGAAAGACTCCCACAGGCACGGGACACCTGCACACCTTGGGGACCACAGGCTCGTTACTACTCGGGCAATGGAAAAAGTGAGAAAAGCATCAGCTTAAGTTCACAGACTCACACCTAGGCCAGGCATTGAATCCAGCATACAATTCCAACAAGGGCTCCCTGCGTTTCTGGAGTTACCATGGGGAATGATCATGTCCAAACATCTGACCCCTGCAAACCAGATCGGGCACTTCAAAGCTGGGTGAAGCATTTTTCATGCCAGAGAAAAGAACCATGGAATCTCCAGAGCTGGAAGGGACCCACAAGAATCACCAAGTCCAGCTCCTGGCCCTGCATAGGACAGCCCAACAATCCCACCCTGTGCATCCATGTGATGTGAAGACTGACCTGGAACAGAGGCTGGACAGAGTTAAGAATAAAGCAGGTATTTATTGAAAGGCCTTAAAGGACACACCTTGGGCAGTGCAAGAGCCTGG